CTCTTGAGTTCTTTTTTTCTCCTCAAATTATGAGAGTCACCTCTGCTGGGGGACTATCAGCCCAAATGGGTGCCATCCGAACAATCGCTAGTTTTCGTTCATGATTATCGCGACTAAATTAATACATCTAAATTAATACATCTTATCTGTAAATTACCATTTAATAGAATTGATCAACTAATTGCGGTTGCGAAGTTTACATTCGTAATAACATAAATTAAATCGAACAATTATGCGGCCTCTAGCGGCCTACAGCATATCAGAGGATGTAGCAATCGGAGATCAATCGGAGATCGGCGGAATATAACGACTGACATTATTCGGGTTACTATAAACTTGTGTATCAGTATTTTATGACGCCGATGGAGACCCCCCCCCCCCCCCCCCCCCCTCCAAAAAAAAAAATAAAAAAAGTAAAAGGAAGATCTTTTTATGGCAAATCGTCAATTATTGATTAGGAGAGGGTTGAGCGCTCACAAACATGTTTAACCCCGCCACATTCTGTATGTGCCTGTCCCAATTTAAGAGCCTGTAGTTCAGTGGTTGATTGTCTGGCATATTTGTTTTTCGTAAATTGTTTTGTTATAAATTAGGCCGTTAGTTTTCTAAATTGAATTGTTTCATATTTTTCATGTCGGGCCTTTTATAGCTGACTATACGGTATAGGGTTTTCTCGTTGCTGAAGGCAAAAAGAACCCTATGATTGCTTATATCCACTTTATTTGAACTTTGCTGGATAGTTGTCTCATTGGCAATCAATCTCCTTATTTTCATAATTATTGAAGAAAAAAGAAGCATCTCCAAGTTTGTCGAAGGGTATTCTTTCCTTGTTTTTATTGAATTAACTTAATTCCTTGTTCCTTCTCAAAATAGATTGATTTTTGTAAAGGAGGGTTAGGTACTATAATTTTGTTATTGATAGTTCAAGGATAATTAAATAATTAAATAACTAAATGGCGCTAAGTTGACAACAACAGGAACACGTAATTAACCTGTAAAAAGAACATTCTTGCAAAATTATCTCTTTTCGTATTTGAGGTTTAAATTGATAAAGCTTTTTGTTTTGATAAGGAAGAATATTAAACACGAAAGCATGAAACTGAACATAACTAATTTTCACATAGGAATTTAAACAAATAACAATCAATAAGTCATGCAAATAACGTAAAAGACATAGGAAATAAATTATAATTGCTGTAGCAAATTTATTATTTTCATGCAAATATCATAGTGGTCAATGAATTTTCTGTATTTTATTGTTCCACAAATTAAAAATCATAAATAAGGGAACTTTTACTCTAGAACAGGGAATTACTAGACTCTTTTATGAAAAATATATTAAATTGAATGTTGTACAAGAACTCCAGAAACTGAAATTTTAAAGTCATATAAAACGAGTTTCTGGTGATTATAATGTTAAGGAAGTTATTGAACCAATGCATGCATATTAACTAAACTAAGTCATCTGTGTACGCTTTTTACATTTATAAAGCATCCTTAACGTAGAATCAACAAAACATATTTCATTCATTGATTGTTGATAAAAAACTCTGGTTGCTAATTAACTTTCGGTATTTTGGGCAGAAATTTTCCGAACGCGACGTTGAAAAACAATCATAACAGAATCATGGAGCACGTGAAAACGATATTTATTTGTTTTCCTTTTATTGTCCATGCATTCCAACTAGTAAATTAAACTCTGTCATAACAGTTGTTAAATTATTTGGTGTATGAAACTGTTTCTTTCATAATCGTTTAATAATATCTTCTTTCCATGTATTTTTCTTCACGATTTTTCCGTTCTCATTTACACTATGTAGTTGTCAAATCTATAACGAGAGATGTTATGGTTAAGGTCACTGCTTACGGAAAATCTGTAGGCGAATTAGAGTACGGGAAGGCAATTATTTAATAGCAGTACTTTTTGGAAGATTTTGTTTTAAAAGGAAGTCAAGGTACACGTGTTTTATAGTAACACTTACCCTTCAAGTATATAAAACATACATGTATATAACTTTTTTGTTAAATTTGAAGTATCATTTGACTTTAAATTGCGTTATCTTAGCATGTAATAAATCCAGTTTTATGATAGATTAGTCTGTAATAACGTGTTAAGACTCTTATATATTTACTAAAATATATCTAATATACACAAATAAACATGATATACAAGACAAATCATACATGATAAACAAGACAAATCATCATGAGCACTTCTTAAGATTTCAATCAAAGACTTCTGACAAAATTTTATCTACATATCATATATTGTGACAACAGTTAACAATTTCAAAGATAAACTAAATGTACTTCAAGTGTATTTGTGGGGTAATATGCGAGGCTTAGTTTCATTGTCTGTAATCCAGTATACCTGTCATAGTAGCTGGACCAAAATAGAAAAGGCTATACTTAACAGGCGGAGTCCAATGTTCAAGAAGTTCAACAGGTATTCGTACCAAATCCTTCTTTCTAGGAGTAAGTTCCATTTTCACACCCTTTACTTCTATTGACCTTTGATTAATAAATTTAAATCCACTTTTCCAATTTATAATTTGAATTCATTTTTATTATAAAAACCTCTATTCCGCTGTAATAATAAGAAAGTCTATTATAATGTTATTCATTTCGCATCCGTATAAACATAAAAAAAAATAGGAAGATGGGGTTTGATTGCTTGCCAATGACACAACTCTCCACCAGAGATCAAATGACGTAGAAGTTAGCAACGATAAGTCACCGTACTGCCTTCAACAATGAGCAAAACCTATACAGCATGGATATTTTTAAGGTAATGGAATAAACAAGGAATACATATGTACTGATTGAGACCTCGATGGCCGAGTGGTCTACGTAGTCCAACTACTGTATCACTAGCCTGTCAACACAGGTGCGATTGACTCCAATCTTAATTGACTAGGATTGTCAGTATTTCGTGTCGAAGGTCGGCGCTTTCTCTCCGGCTTCCTCCACCAATAAAAACTGACCGCCACGAAATAGTCAATATTGACGAAAGTGGCGTTGAATACCAACCAATCATATGTACTGACTCGACTGACTTTAAATCACGTAGTTACTCTTATTTCAGGACAAGCTTGTCAGTAGAGAATACAAATAATATTTGACAAAATTGCAAAATAATCAACAGAACTGGGTTGCTATGGCGTTTAAGGCATTGTAAATAAGAAATGCAGGTGCATTGCATTTCAAAAAGTATTTGATACTTAGATAGGCGACATAACCTTTTTGAAGTTAAAGTAGTTGATCATTTCGTTTGATTTACTTATTGATGTTTGGTGTGGTTGCACATTGTTTAGTTGATACTGTGTTATGTTTGACTGCATGGGAGGCTGCCTGTTCATTTATCTTTGTAAAATAGGTCTTCGATAAAAAATCTTTTCATCAAAAATCGGAATTTAAAAAAATATACTATATTTATTGTGTAAACCAATATATGTTTGGCAAGGTAATTGTTAGCTTCATTTTATACGATCTAAAATATCAAACAAATTCAAATTTTGATGTGTGGCTTTATAAGACAAGGAAGTATGTACGTACATTTTTTATACTTTAGAATTGTAATTTCTTGCTAATTTGCTGGAAACGAATTAAAGTATTTTAATTTATTTATCAAACATGCGTAACATGATTTCTGTTATAAAGTTCATCGAAGAATTTTATAACACGCTTATCAACGACGTTACATTGTGTAGTTATGTGATCTGAGCCGTGGTGATCTGGACCATGCTCAATAAACCGAATTATGGCGAATAACAACAATTCATTGTACATAAAGTTATCTCAAAATTTTGTGCAGGAATAAATTATATGTGTTCCTGGCACGTTACAAAATTTAATCGCATTTCATTATAGTATTAAATGTCATTAATTCTTGGTGAATGTGTGTCAAAAGGTCTGTAATTGAAAAAAAATGTGTTTTCGGTACAAATGATGTATCCTTGATTAAAATAAGTTAAAGGTACAATATTGACAATGGCTGCAATTATGTTTTAGAATAACATGATACTTGATATTTTGTTTTGTCTTGCTTGAATAGTGTAAAGTATTAGAATACAGTTTACACTGAATAATAGTAAAGTTTGTGAGAATTATTCGAATTATTGATGCATACCATAAATCTCAAATGCATTCTTTTAAATTTATTACAACGTTGGTAAAATTTGAGCGATTTAGCGCTTGCTTTACGATATGGAAAATTATCATTCTACTACTAAGTCGCCGTTGCTGTTGTGGTCCGTAAGTCCCTTGGGGTCACCATTTGCCAATAGTCCGTGCATCGGTACTGACATTACTTGAACGATACATTACATGTCGAATAATTATCAATTTCAATGTCTACATCACATGCGCAAGACATATATTGCCGACATAATTTAAATTATACATTTCAGTTGTTAACTTGTATTAATAATTGAAGAAACAATAGTACTAAAGGGGAAACTCCCTCATGCAAATTGTTCATAGAAAAAAACACCCGTTTCTTTTGAGATAAATAAAATTGAGAATGGAAAGGTTATTCACCTAACCGGTGTCGTGCGCTTTAGAGTCGATATCATTGGATATGAAAGTGTATTATAATATTGCTATTCATGGCTATTGGCGTATGCATGTAAAACATGAATTTTATGACTTCGAGGCGGCAATAATAATGTTTATAATGCTGTTTATGCATGTTTTATAAGTATGTGTTATTTAAATGCAATAAACAGTCGTTATCACATCCGAGACTGGTTTCAAGTGGTGGGGGAACAGTGGCCGTGAGTCCCTACAATCGACATTTTTATCTATTTGACATAAAAAAAAAAACACCATCAAAATGTGTTTATCCCTATCCGTTTGTCGCCTTTCTAAGAGTTCTGCCCTAAACCTAAATTCTTAAATCCGACTCTGACATTGTACATATCAAACTTATACATCACTTGTTTTCTTCTGAATGTAATAATAGATTGCTATAAATATCAACTTCTTCTCTTTATTTACAGGAGCATAAAAGACAAGAGACGACAAATAATATCAATGTTTAAAAGAAAACTAAATATTGAGATCAAGAGGACCGTTCACGATCAACATATTACTCCATCATGAAAAGCGTATCATACGATTTTTACATCTTTTTGTATGATTCAGCAGGTATGTTACCTTAACCGTCCCGGTCGGTAAACCTAAAAAAAAACTAAACAATAGTGTTTAGATGCGTGCATAAAGTCAGATTCTGTGAAACTGATTTACATTATTGTCTTATGGGGTAATATATCATAGGAATAAAACCTAATTGTCTGAAAAAATATGCACTGGGATTAAATTTCAGCTTTTGAGCGTGGTGGTCTCATAGTAGCGTGCTCACGTCTAGTGCGTGATTCTAAATAAGGATAATGTGTTGTCGGGGTAGAGTGAATGATTATCCTTTAAGCTAGCATGTTAAAAAGCAGACATCCAATACATGGTGAGCCTCAGATATTCCTCTGACTTTAACATTATATCGTCATGAATATACATATACATGATATTATAAACATTCACCGATCAATCCATTATTTAACTTTGCATGCTCAATATAAGAAAAGGAACGTTCGTTAAATAAAACCTGTCAAAAAAAACTAAAAAAATTTTCATTTATGAGACCTTTCAATTAAATGACGTAAACCTTTAATCGTTAGGATTCGAATCATGCAAGGCATATTACGCTAAAAAAAAATCCCTTTTCATTCCGAATTCGGTACACAATCTTGACGGGCACGCAAAAAAGGGGAGGGGCAATATAATTTTGGTCTACAGCTGTACTTCTTTAATAACGTAATATTTTGTTATTGTTATCATACTCATTAGTGTCGTTACCTATTTATTTATTTTATTTTTTTTGTGCTATGTTGACTGATTTAATTTATTTTGTATATTTTGCAGAAGCTGGTTAAAGTCGTTTTGCAATTATATCAAACAGATTTAAAAAATTGAATATTTCTTGTAAGTATTAACACATTTTTAGGTAAGTATAGCCATAGCAATTTTAAAAAACATCTCTTTCAGGTGAAAAGAGGTAAGTAAGCTATCTTGTGCTAACATTGTCTGCTAGATATATGTACTGTGTAAGCAAATATGCTACTGCGTTTAGTATGCTGTACATTATGGAAATTAATATAATGCTGTAATTATGAGAAAAAATGCTACTTCCTGAGAGTTATGGCTGAAAATATTTAGCTACTACTTCTGAAATAGAGTCATTAACTTATGTTTACAAATCTTTCATTGATGGTAGAATTCAGCAATAGCTAGACTCAAATCAATACGTCGTGTATATCAATTCCATAGTGTACAGTATGCAGTGAGAGGATGTATAGTTTGTGTTATTCTAAAAGCATTACTAAGCACACACCCTATTACCAGATATCGTTACTTCCGATGCAATTCAGAACAAAATCTGCTGTTTACGATTGCAAAATTAGTTGTACTGCAATGGCAATAAGAACGGCAGACAAAACACTGCTGTAGACGATAACAAAATATTTTGAATGGCAATTGGGGACACAGACCCTATTTTGCCTACCATAATGATAACCGGTAATGGGGGTGAGCTACTGTCTTGTTATATTTTGCAAATAAAAATAATAATTACGCAGAAAATGTGCTTCGTCTATAGAATATGAATTCGAAAGCCTTTCGTTCTATATTTGATTTAAGTTTTTTCGGAAATGAGAAAAAGTCTCTTTTTTCAGGACTGGTACTTAATTAGATTCCATATAAAAGATAGGTTTCTTCATACACCTAAATTGCAGAAGTGGCCAAAATATGGCATGTAAAGATATTCTACTCAATTTCAAAATGGTCGAAAATTCTTGAAACAAAGCATGTCAACATTGTACAATTCAGCGGGTGCATTCGCAAGACTGATGGATAACAACTATAGAGTCAATAACTCAAACAACTAAGGTAGGCGATTTTTCTTTCAACTGAGGTGTAATCATTTATCTGATGATTTAAAGTGGTTAAATATTATCTGCTGATATGTAATATGCGGGATCTTCAATCACGTTAAATCAGCAACAAAACAAATCATCACTCTTTCTGTCCTTCTGTGAATTTCTAAAGTTGCAGTCATCAGTTGCACTCAGTGCAAAATGTTGCAAAACAAAAGTTGAATGAATATATGAAGATAAAAAGCCCACGGGTTATGAACAAGTCCAGGAATAACCACAAACTTCAAAATAAGGTCGATTGGGTGGTCATATGCAATCATATTTCTTTAAAATGTTTCATTTTAATCTGATTAAATCAAAATTAACGAAATAAAATCATGACCAGTACCGAAACATTGACTAGGAATAATACCTGGAGACAAGAGATACCAGCAATACTTTCTTTTCAATTGTAGTAAAACCGGGATGAATTCAAGGTTTCTTGCGTTAAACATTTATATAGACAATTCGTTTGATCGCACGTCTTTGCTAGGTGTCAATAAAGCTACCTTTGTGCATTTGTCGAACACCCATGTGGGATAATCTTCTTCTATAGGATATCTACCTTATTTGCAGGGTCACCGCACTTAAAATATATGCGTTTATTAGAAAAGAATAAATTATCTTGTTAAAATATAGATTTATATGTTAAACTAAAATAAAATAAAAGTAAAAAGGTAAAAAGACAGATAACTTGTATTTACACTGTACATAATATCCACGAATTAAAGACTATCACAGGCAACTCATAATATGTCAGACAATATCACTATGAGATACTGAAACAAAACAGATATGTAGACAGTGGACCGGGCCACAATTTCGAGCAAGCAAAGGGAGATAAATATATAAAATTGCTCTACAGCTATACTTTTCAACAAGCATGGTTTGAATATAATTATCATCATTATTATAATTATTTCATCTGTTATTTTTTCTAATTAACTTTGTTTTATATTGTTTCCAGAATGAAAAGAGGCTGTTTAAATTAAACAAAATTTTATAGTTTTCATGTAAGTATTAATCATTTGACGTAAGGTAAGTATAGACATAACAATTATAATAGTATTTCAGACCTGAGGTAAGTTTGCTATGATCGCTTTCTAGTAATAACTTGTCTGCTAGATACCTGTATTATGCAAACTAATGCTAAACATTCATTGTGCTGTACATTTAGAAGTTAATGTAACGTTTCAATAGCGAAAAAGAAGGACAGCTCGGCCCTACTGTGAATTTAACTTTAAAGTTTATAGATGTTTGATCTCACCTTTAATAAAAGATATGTCTTAGGGAGCTACCATTTGATTTTTATGGGGGGGGGGGGGGGGGGGGGGGGGGTAGGATGAAATTTGAAAAAATAGGCTTGACAGGAGTTTTGAGTAATAAAAAAAAGGCAGGATGAGACACTTTGCAAAAAAAAAAGGCAGGACCGAATAGAGTGAAAAATAAAAAGGCAGGACAGAAATTAAAACTATAAAAAAATACAGGACAACATTTTTCATCCTGTCCCCCCCCCCCCCCCCCATAAAAATCAAATGGCAGCTCCCTTATGCTTACATCGTCTTCATTTCTTGATGATGTCTGCTTCAGATTCTCATCAATTAGTATTTTAATTAATTTCAAAGTGTACAGTACTTTTATGTAGTGATAGGGTAGTATATTTTGTGTCATTTTGAAAACTCTATTAACAATTACTACATTATTGTGTTTGTATTACAGTAACGTTACTATCAAATTGTTCAAAAAAATAATTCATGTTACACAAAATATACTCCCTTTACACTAACTAGATTAGACATCTTTCCGTTTTATATTTGATAAAAGTTTTTTTCTTTCCAAAGAGACAAAAAATATATATTTCTTTTCAGTAAAGGGCCTGATTTAATTTCGGTACAGAAGATCAGTAATGGTAACATCGAATTGCATGTCAACATGCGTTGACGATACTATATATGGTAGGTATAACACATATGTTACTCTTTTTTTCATATTGGCGTACATTAACTATAATTAAAGTCATGAAGATAAAACTGTACACATAAGTATAAATTGTCCAATTTACTGAAGTATTACAACAAAAAACGAATCCCGTCCACAAACAACTAACTAAAGAATAAATATAGGATGCGCATGTAATTATATGTGTTTCAGCTGAAACATGAATCAATTTGATCTTGTACTAAATAAAATCGTTTTAACAAGATTTTATCTCATTTATTAACTGATTTACTGAAGATTTCAGACGTTTGAAAAACTAAAAATACATAACTACATACATACATACATACATACATTTAAAATTAAACAAATTACTTAAAGATACGCAATCATGATGTTTTATTAAAAAAGGTTAATCTGATAGAGTAATCTAAAATTATGTGCAATATCGAAACACTTACCAAGGATCATACCTCGGAGGCTAACACTATTGCAGCAATAATTTCTTTCCAGACGAAGTAAAAATAAAGAATTCGTCCTAGTTTTATTCGTGTAAATATGAACAAAAGGACATGATGGGTAACCTGAAATGAACCAGCAACCCTAACGACAAAAATTACAAAACAGACATCTAGATCGCAACATACAGTCAAAAAAGTAGACACGTGTCTTTACAATAAGTCGTATCGAAACTACAAAATATCTTAATATACCTTAATGGTCACGTTCGGTATATTAAACGTGTAATAAAGACCTTGTAGGAATAACACCACTAATTCATAGCCCCCTTGCTTTCTATGTTAAATTCTGCAACTTCAAGCATTCATAGCTAATTTGTCTTAAGTTTAAATAAAGTGGTAGTCATTTCTTTTCAAAACTATACCTTATCCTGACTTGTGCTAAACAATCAACATACCTGTAATTGAATATTAAAGCACACTGGTTTCCGGAAGTTGGGTAGTACAAAAACAGGTACATCTGATCTGAGCAACAGGGCAAATATGCCCTCCTATCTTAATTTAATATATTTTTTTTTATTATTCAAAGTTACAGCTATGCGTAGGAACTATTTTGTTTAGAATATGTACTACTTTCTTGTATGTTCTTTCTGACCGGGCCGAATTAGTGGTTCTATACCTGTAGAGAAGTAATGAATACATCATCAACTTTACTAGTCTTTTTCTTTAGCGCGCGAGATGCTTAAGGTGTTCGTTCACTGGACCATGAAGATACTATTTATAAAACAGAATGTTTTATAATATCCATAAGCAGCTGTTTAATCATTTGTACAAATTCATAAGCTTAAATCTTTTTAACTATCACTATTGTTTTCCATCGGAGGTATTTTTGAAACAAAACAAAAACCTGGCTATATTTTATATCAAGAATTCCGAACTCAATCATGCTGGTAATGTTACTTAAATTTTTGCTACTATTTTTTTTCTAGAAAATCAACTGAGGCTATTTTTGGAAAAAAAGCGTGAGTAGATTTGAATCAGAGTAAGGAACCATAAAGGAGTTAGGTAAGTAATTCTATTTGACAGGTAAGTATGGATGCTTGGTTTTTACTTTTTTATTTCAGAAATTGGGTAAGTTTGTTTAAAGCGCTTTCTTGTACTAACATTGTCTGCTTAACACTAGTATAATGGAATGCAATTTATTATTATAAAGTTTAATATGAGTGAAGAAATGCACATTTAGAAATTCTAAAAGTAAAAACGTGCAACTGACTGCGTACAGATACTTTTTCATTGGCGTTATTCAGTTCTGAATTAAAGGCATACTTGGTAAAAAGTATATAACACTGGACACTTTTAATTTGCAAAACACTCAATTGCAAATCCGCCGCCGCCTCTCCTTAGACCTACAGTGTCGTGTAAATAACCAAAATGTGCGGAATTACATGGGATTCAATAATTTCATTGCTTTTCTGCTGTTATTATTATATGTATTTTGTAACTTGATTTCGAAAAACATGGGATTTTCAATATCCCATGGGATAAGGCAAATCCCATGGGATTGACCAATATCCCATGGGATTTTGGTTAAATCCCATGGGATTTTTTTGGGTCCCATGGGATAATTGTAGTCCCATGGGATATTTGTTGTCCCATGGGACAAAAAAAATCCCATGGGACTATGATTATCCCATGGGATTTTTAATATCCCATGGGACAAAATAAAATCCTATGGAATTCAAATTATAAATATACAGTAATGTGTATGTTACAATGAATTCTGTTTGGTAGTAAAAAGTTAATAATATATATATGAGTGTATTTTGGTTTTTTTCATTTTGTCACAAACATGTTTTTAATTTGTTTATATGACAATAAAGATTATTATTATTTTGGAAATATAATAATATTTAAAGTCAAAAAATAAAATCCTTTAACTGAAATAAAATGATGAGGTCTTAATAAAAGAAAAAAATATTGATTTGAAATCTTTGTCTTCTTTGTTTTATTATGAAAAATAGAACTGAAAAAAATATTTCATATTCTGACTGAATAAATTGACAAAGCACAGTTAATAGTTTACTCTTTTCATGAGGTAAAGTTTTCTTTGTTATAGTTCCATTGCAATACATGAATATGCAAATGATTTGAATCTTATTCCTTTGTGGTGTTCATAATATTACATTTATATTTGTAAATTTATAAAATAAACACTTTTCCCGTTAAGTTTTAGTTTTCTTGTTTCAGCTTGCTATGAACAATTATTCAGTCCACTATATAAGAGTCAAGTAAGTAAATTATTTCATCCACTAGAATATTCCTACAATTTTAAGACAAAACATTTATGCAATCTGTTCTTCAAAAATCTTCCTCCGTACATCTTTATTGGATGGAGCGATTTAAATGAGTGGACAAAGCAAGTTCATTTGGACAACAAAATACTAATATATTTTTTCATTCCTCCCTTCTTTCAATTGATAATTACGTTGTTGCATTTACATGATTAAGTTCTTGAGCATCTATGAACATGATGATATGACTCCTTTTTGTTTATAGTCATTATGTTGAAATTTCCTCTTTCTTATGTAGGAAACAAAAACACATTCCATTTCAAATTAATAAAAAAGTCACACTATGTAGAAAAATATCAACTTTAAGATTGCTGTTCAGTATTGACCTGTTGAATGATGATCATGAAAACAAAGATGTCTGACCTACAAATACACAAAACTCAAAAATTATAAATGAAGAGAAATACAGCAATAAAATGGCTATTTTATCATGTTTATGTACATTTTGATAAAAATTTCATTTGAATATTTAAAATTGTAAGAACTCTTATTTCAGTGCTTTGTGTCTATGGTTTTCATATTAGTTGTTTTTTGTGCCTTGTTGCAGTCTTTTGAGTAAAGCCAATTGCAACAAATGTTTACAGTTTGTTCAAATGTTGTGCTGTTATTAAAACCACTGTCCCAGGTTAGGGGTGGGTTGGGTGCTCACTAAATGTTTATTTTATTAGTTGATATTTGCTTTGAATTAGCTGTCAGTAACTGTGAGTACTAATGATCTGTATGTTGAGTCTTTTTTGTTAAAGGGAAAGAATAAATTTTCAGCCACATCCGGTCTGTGTTTTTGGTAGCTGTTTTTCTGCTTTGTTGCATTCTAATGAGTTAATAAAATTGAGAATGAAAACGGGAATGTATCAAAATAATTTAATTTTGGATGTAACACGTCTTCTGATTGGCTGACGTTGTTTTGTTTATCAGCTCATAGACATAATTTTGTCATGTGACCGTGACGTCATCAAAGTTTTTTCATGGTTTACTCCGGTTTAAAATGGAATTTAGAATTAAATTATAAGAAATGACTGTAATATTTTTTCTGTCTATTCGAAATAACATAAAAAATGTGGTGCACACTTTAAAATAACCCGCTACGCGGGTTATTCAGTGTGCACCACATTTTTTATGTTATTTATTCATAGACAGAAAAAATATTATAGTCATTCCTTAAATAACCTGACCAAAGAGCAGAAAAAAACCCTTTTCAACTGATTTTATAGTTTTTATATTGAACTGACACTTACACCACTGTCCTTAATTAGAGGATTTGGTGCCAGCAAACATGTTAAACCATGCCACATTTTGTAAGTGTCTGTCCCAAGTCAGGGGTCTATTATTCGGTGGTTGTCAATTGTTGCTATATATCATATTTGTTTTTTGTTTATTGTTTTGTGCAAAAATCAGGCACTTAGCTTTCACCTTTATGGTGTTTCCCCCAAGCATGTTTAGCATGGATAGACACCATGCCCTTTTTAAATGATGCCATGCCCTTATTGAATTGTTTTACATTTGTTATTTCATGGCCTTTATGGATTACTATGCAGTATAGGGTTTGCTCATTGTCGAAGGCTGTACATTGAACTAATTTTGTTAAATTTAATGTCATTTGATCTCTATTGGAGAAAAGTCTCATTTGCAACCGTACCGCTTCTTATTTTTATATCAACCCTGTCATTATTTACAGGTCATCATTGGCCTCTAATAAGTAATTGCATTGCTTACATCCACTTAATTGAACTCTGGTGGATAGTTTTCTCATTTATCATACCACATCTTATTTTCATAATAATCATTATTCAAGGGCAATAACTTTTATAGAAGTGGACTTACCATTTAGGCTTTGTTGACATCTGTAAATCTATTTTTGTTGATAATTTCTTTTGTTTATAGTTTCCCTTTATCTTTAATGTTCTTGCCCTACACATAAAAGGGTAAACATTATCATTTAATGACAATAACTACTATTACATAATGAGTAGGCAACTGACAATTTTGGATCATTTGTATCTTGTCTTGCTCATCATTTTTGCTTGATATTATCAATATTCTATGAAAATGAGGTCACAGTAATATTAAACTTGGCAGACAGACATCTTCTTATTTTTATATGACACCTTGTAGTCATTCCATACACCAACAAGTAAACATATGCTTATAATATCTGATAAAATGAATAAAATGCTCCACTGGGCACAGCTTGATACGACCGCAGAGGTCGAACCCTGAACAGTTGGGGCAAGTATGGACACAACATTCAAGCTTGATACAGCACTGAATTTGGATTGTGATTAAATATTTGACACAGCATAGGTTTCTGACACAGAATGAATGTGGTCTAAGAACTTAAATATTTTTAATTTACCTATTCAAACCATATCATTATTATTTGCTTTTATATATAAATCAGAAATAACCAATTTAAAATGGAAAATTTTAAAGCAAAAAAAAGGAAAAAAAGGGAAAAAAAAATCCCCCCCAATTTTTTGAACCCCCTTATGATTCATCACCCCAAACTCAATCCCAGCCTTCCCTTTGTGGTATGGTACCTTGCAGTACAATTTCAGAGAGATCCATACACTAATACACAAGTTATTGTCTGGAAACTAGAAAAATGCTTGTTTTTTTGGCCCCTTTTTGGCCCCAAATTCCTAAAAGTTTAGGGCAATTACCCCCAAACTCAAACCAAGCTTTCCCTTTGTGATATGAAACCTTGTAGTACAATTTCATAAAGATCCATACACTTACACACAAGTTATTGTCCTGAAACTAGAAAAATGCGTGTTTTTTGCCCCTTTTTGTCCCCTAATTCCTAAATTTTTTAGGCAATTACCCCCAAAATCAATCCCAGCCTTCCCTTTGTGGTATGGTACCTTGCAGTACAATTTCAGAGAGATCCATACACTTGAACACAAGTTATTGTCTGGAAACTAGAAAACTGCTTATTTTTGGCCCCTTTTTGCTAAACATTTTTGGCAATTACCCCCAAACTCAATTCCAGCTTTCCCTTTGTGATATGGAACCTTGTAGTACAATTTCAGAAAGATCCATACACTTATGCACAAGTTATTGTCATGAAACTAGAAAAATTCTTGTTTTTTGCCCCTTTTTGGGCCCCTAATTCCTAAAATTTTAAAGCAATTGCCCCCAAAATCAATCCCAGCCTTCCCTTTGTGGTATGGTACCTAACAGTACAATTTCAGAGAGATCCTTAAATTTGAACACAAGTTATTGTCTGGAAACTAGAAAAATGCTTATTTTTGGCCCCTTTTTGGCCCCTTATTCCTTAACGTTTTGGGCAATTACCCCCAAACTCAATTCCAGCTTTCCCTTTATGATATGGAACCTTGTAGTACAATTTCAGAAAGATCCATACACTTACACACAAGTTATTGTCATGAAACTAGAAAAATGCTTGTTTTTTGCCCCTTTTTTGGCCCCTAATTCCTAATATTTTGAGGCAATTACCCCCAAAATCAATCCCAGCATTCCCTGTGTGATATGGAACCTTGTGGTACAATCTCAGAGAGATCCATAGACTAACACACAAGTTATGTCTGGAAGTTACAAAAATGCTTATTTTTGGCCCCTTTTTGGCCCCTAATTCCTTAAGTTGGTACCATAACCCCCAAAATCAATCCTTATGGTAAAATTTCATAGAGATCCATTCACTTAAACTAAAGGTAGAGTGCGAAAACCAATGTGTCTTCGGACGACGACAACGCCAACGTCATACCAATATATGACTGTATAAAAAACTAAGAAAACTTAGCAACGACCAAAGAACCATAAAATGCGATCATGGTTATATGAATCTGCCAGACAGACATGCACACCTTACAATCGTTACATCCGCCAAATATAATTTACCTGTTGCTTAAAGCATATGATAAACTGACAAAACAATGCAAACTTTTCATTGACCAATGAACCATGAAAATGAGGTCAAGGTCATATAAAACATGCCAGACAGACTGTGTATCTCACAATCATTCCATT